TATATATATATATATATATATATATATATATATCCATTCCCTCATTTGATTATCATAAAGGTACTAATATGATAAAATGAGGATCGAGTCATCTCCCACTAGGTGTTGATACGGAGGAAGATATAGCTTGTCGGTCCCGTGAATGATAGTCCATAGGAGGGCCATTGGACCAGCCCAATCGGTCTCTGTAGACAACAATCTACGGGTGACCGATTGAGTCTACCCGCCCCCCCTTCCTTCGGTCGGTCCGCATTGGCAAAACACTAGGGGAATGACTTTACAGATGTTATAGACTTGTTGCCCCATGGAAGGAACGCCAAAGCAGAGGTGTTATAATCGTTACAGGCCTGCTGCCCCATGGAAGGAATGCTAGAGTAGAGACATTATAGTTGTTACAAGCTTGTTGCCCCTATTGAAGGAACATCAAAGGGAAGATGTTACGACCATTACAGGCCTATCGCCCCCATTGACAGAATGTCAGTGGGAAGGCGTTACAAGTGATTCCTCCATCCATGTATAAAAGTCTATAAAATTCCAAATTTTGATGATGAAATCAATTGATAAAGTTATAAACTAATGAGTGTTTGAGATGAGTAACGCAAGAGAAACTTCGATCATGGACTTGAATCATTGAAGTAGGAGAATCAGACGTTGGGTCAGAGAATCTCACGTTAGAGATTCGGGCTGGAGGATTGGTCGACGTACCGGAGCATGGACTTCATGCCATGAGTTTAGACATCAGGCCAGAAAGATCGAGTATTATGCCAAGAAGATCGAATGCTATGAGAGATCAACATGTCGATGGATTGGGCAATACGCCAAAGAAAATGATGATGCGTCGAAGGTTCGAACAAAGTGCTGGATGAACAGACGACATGTTAGACAATAGAGGCTTCATGATTATAATTGTTAAGTCCTGATTAAAGTAGTTTTAGAGTATAATTTAGTTATTTTTTGGTGTAACTATGCCAACTTGATTAGGAGACCATTGGGACTAAATCAAGGTTGAATTGGACCTATTGGAAGGCCAATTCAATGACCTAAAGTTGAGACAGGCGATGGCACCGGAGAACTATTTCTCTCTCAATCTAAATGACCCTAGCTAAGGATTTGTCTTAGCAAGAATATATAGAATGTTCCTCTCATGGCACTGAGAGTGGATGATTATATATCGACACTTAATAACCTTGTAAGGTTGGCTGCCACTCTTGATAATTGGCTGCTCTAGATCTGAAACTTCTATACCTATAAGTCCAACATTAAAGAGTGAAGTACTTATACAGGACATCTTTAGTGTCTCAAGTCTAAGGACCAGATCAATACTGGGATGACGGAATCACTGTCTAACAATGAGATATCATTAACCATCTAGCATTTCATGAGCGGATCGATTAGTGAACTCATTCTCAAATGAGCATATGCACTGTATCCCTAGTATCCCCACATGAGCAATTATGAGACTAGCCACCTCTATCATATAGACGAGTATATAGCACACTAGTCTGTCCCGTTATCTCGATGTCCCTCTCGAGTAATATATGACTGAGATTATTTAGGGTCTATATTTAAAGGAGAATCGATCTTATTATCATGATCTCAGTACAATCCGATTCTCATTACATAAATCAATGGATATTACAATATATGCAATAGGCAACATAACGTGAGAAAAATATCAATAAATAATAATAATTAAAAATAGTGTGTATCGTGTCACGGTGTCATCACTCACGTGATTGGCTTGCAGGGAATTTATGACTAGTAATTCTGATCGAGTTTAGAAGAATAGGACCAACACCGAGGAGGGGAGAATGAAGATTAACCCGCCCTTTCGAGACAATCTAAACACTCCTTTAGAGACCTAGGGGAGGTAGGATTGGGAGCTCCTGACATCCCAAAAAATTTGGAGCCTAGAGGCCCAGGTATGGAATGAGCCTTGCTCCTTGGTGAGTGAGGGATTTAAGGGGGAGTTATCAATCTCTCTCCTCCCACAATCGACAAACCCGAAGCCCACCTTAATGAGAGATACCTCGAAAATCGCCGTAATGTTATGAGCCTCAAAATCCACCATAGTGGAAAGATCCATAAAATTAACTATGTCGGAGTGAGACTTCAAAGCCCACTATGACGGAAGCTCGAGATCCACTATGATGAAGAAGAAAAGAAGGCTCGCTACGACGCAAGCTCGAGATTCACTACAACAAAGAAGGGAAGAAGGCCCACTACGATGAAAGCCTGAGATCCATTATAGTGAAGAAGGGAAGAAGGCCTGCTATGATGAAAGCCTAGGATCCACTACGACAGAGAAGGGAAGAAGGCCCGCTATGGCGGAATCCCGAAATATGCTATAACGGAGATGCCCGACCAAGTGCACCTGACGATTGTGAGTCGGGAAAATTTAATCCATGCCAAATCCACTACGATGAAAATGTCGAGCCAAATATACCCGTAGCGAGTGACTCAAGAAAATTCAACCCATGGTAAATCCACTATGATGGAGATATCGAGCCAAATGTACTCAAGGAGGGTGAGTTGGAAAAATCTAACCCATGTCGAATATGCTATGGTGGAGACAATGAGCCAAATATGCCCGAGAGTGAGTCAAGAAAATCATACCCGCACCAAATCTGCTACAATGGGGTCGATACGCCAAACGTGCCCGAGGTGTGTGGGTCGAGAAATCCGACCTATACTAAGATTAATCCGTAATAAACAAAGTATAAAACCAATATGCCTGAGACAATTGAATTGAAAAAACCCAACCCACAAGACGAAACGCGGAACACTCTCGTAGCTAAACGATGTGCTTCGAACCCATTTTCCAAAAGTCCCGAAGTATGCCTTTGGGGAAGGGACAAACGATAGAAAATATTCTGACAACTAATCTCATCCCTTTAGTTGGTCGCCACAAAGGCACTAACATGGAAAAGCAAGGGCCTAGTCATCCCCCATGGGGTATTGATATGAAGGAAGATATTGCCTCTCAACCCCATGGATGATAGTCTATGGGGGGCCATTTGGGCCAGCCTGATGACATTCATAGATAGCAATCTACAAGTGACCGATCGGGTTTGCTCCCTCTCGATTAGTCCCTGCAAGCAAAACGTCATGGGAATGACATTACGATCGTTATAGGACTGCCACTCCCATGGATGGAATACTAAAGTAGAGACGTTACAGTTATTACAGGCCTATCACCCCGGTTGACAGAATGTGAAAGGAAAGATGTTATGATCATTACAGGCCTGCCCGCCCCATTAATGGAACGTCAGTGAAAAGGCATTATGACTGTTATAAGTTATTCCTTTGATTAGATATAAAAGTTGATCATCAACTTCAGTCCATAGGGTCGAATCTCTTTACAACTAACCGTCGTATATTATAAAATCGTCTGGAAACTAATTTAAACATCGGAGGAGCCAGGGCTCACTCTCAAGCTTGCCTCGAACACTTTGACTCACCCAAAAGATCGGTGTCACCTCAATCCACGTCAGGGCCCGATCACCTCGAACAACTATCACCTCATCCACCTCAGGTCAACCCACAATCGATAGTACGATCCCACACACCTCGTCCACGTGTGTGTGTTACGTGTACAATACGTTGGTTACTAACTAGCGCAGGGCTTCTTTTGGGCCAAACGATGAGCTCTTTGTCGCTACTTCGTCTCCGCCCTTATCGGCATCCCGACGCCCGCGGAACCCTAATTGCCGGCCATGGACGGAGTTCGCTACCTCCAAGGCGGCAGACGCGGCAGGGAATTGTGGCCGCCATACCCACCGCTATCGTCATGAGGGATCGGGCCAAGAACCGAAAGCCCACCCAGAGGGGCCGCTACCTCAGCACCGAGGCCATCCACGCAGTCCAGGCCCTGAAGCGGGCCCTTGGGACCGTCGGAGGCGGCGGCGGCGGGGACTCTCTGGAGCGCGTTCTCGCTGCAAAGGTCCGGCGGCTGATCAAGGGCGACATGGTCGCCGTCCTCCGCGAGCTCCAGAGCCAGGGTGAAGGCCTCTTGGCGCTTCAGGTTCCGCTTGAAATATCCTTCTTTTCATCGAAAGTTTTGGTTTTTAGCATACATCTTCTTTGAAGATTGATTGAGTACTGAAATGCCTCATTTTTTTCCTTCTAATATCGGGGTTTGCTTTGAATTTGGAGTTATTTTGAACTTTTGGTCTTTTTGGGTCTTTGAGACTAGTGTGGAGACTCTGCGCCCAGTGGTTATATGAGAGAGATTGTTTCATTGGCTCTGTGGCTTAGTGATTAGAGCAATATCTCTATTTTCTGAGTGCAGGGGGCACACTAACATATTTTCCACACTGTTCTCCAGTAACTAGACGTTGTGTTCTACCTCTTGTGACTGAACTTTATATGTGGAGGACCTGTGTGATCCTAATATCTGATCTAACAAAATTTGGCTTCACTCATGAAATCCAGAAGAGGGTGATTCTCTAATTTTATATATTTTAATGAAATACAATGTAATATATCTTTGACCTCTATATACCCAACATGCCTCTCTAGAAAGGCTGTAGTATTGTTTTCTCAAGGTCAACAAGTATATGACCTTCTTGCCTCTTCAATGGTTGAATCCAGTCAGTTTGAATGGTGCTGATTAATGTAAAATAGGCCTAAAGCTTAATTAATTATGATACATATTGTCCTTTTTTGGGTACATTCAACTTCTTTTTAAATGTCTTATTGGAAGACCACTTTCTAAGGGTGAAAAAGAATCTCTTAAGTTTTTGAATGATTTATTAGGTCTGGCATTACAAAGATACATATAGGTTTGGCACTGTAATTACAGATTGATTGGTACATGGACCAAATTGCTGGTTTGCCTACTTTAAGTTTCTGCAAGATCTTATGATTCAATTATGTAAGAGTTGGAGTTTAGTTTATGGTAATGAACTTGAGATTACCAAAGTTGTACCTAGTAGCAATAGAGCAAATTCTTGTACAGTATAGCTATGTTTCTGTTAGGTAATTTAATTTACAAATGGAGCTAGATCAATAACCACCACATCCACACTACACAACTATATTCTTGTCAGCACTGTTTAAATTCTCTGATGCAGATTCTGGAGGCCTGGAGCACCATTAAGATTAAGCTCTCATGTTTGAGTTTGAAGCATATGATTAATCTAGTCTATAGCAGAGCCCAAGGGATATGGATTTGCACATGCAAAATTGTTTGTGGTCGAAGAGCTGACCTTAATTTGCTGATGATTTGTTTAAGGAATAGTTCCTTTTTGTCATCGTTGGATAGATCTGGTGGCTTGGTCAAATGCCACGATTTCTCTATATGGTGATCGATTAGTTTCCATAACGTTTTACTTTTCTTGTTTTAGTCTTTTTCCAATTATAATTTTTATCTTTAGCAGTTACTGGCTACTTTTCTTATATGAGTAATATTTCTCAGAATATCTATTCTAGATTGCAATCAAAGTGCTGAGATGATGCTGGCCATGCTAATTGCCAACCAGGTTTTTGAGGAGGTTCGAAGGGAGCACTGGTATAAGCCTCAATTATCAGTGTACAATGATATGATCAAAGTGCTGGCATCCTGTGGTTTGCCTGAAAAAGTGGAGAAGGTATGCTCATATCTAAAGATGGAGCATTTGGATGCTGATACTGAAGGTTTTAATTTGGTCTTGAGGACATTATTGGATTTTGGTTTTGTACAAGCTGCCATGGACTGCTTTCGGCTAATGAAGCTATGGGAAAGTGAGCCTGACGAGTCAACATATGCAATATTAATCAATGGCCTTAAAGCTGAGGGAGAAGTAGATCTTTCAGTTTCGGTAAGAGAGGAAGCAGAGCAACATCTTGGTGGGCCTTTGGTATTCTTAGAGAAGAGGGAAGATGAGATGGAATTGACACCTTCTTCTTCCTCAGGTCACTGACCAAGGAGAGTTGCATTGCAGCGTGTAGTCTTTTCTGTCTTACGAGATATTACAATTGAGAATCACCACCATAATTTCTTGCTTCCCTTTCTTGTAAGGTTAATCACTCTGCTCTCCTTTCACATAACTATCATGAAAGTGGAGAGAAGGCCAGGCCCAGCACGAAAGCTTAACATATGTTTTTCTTTTTCTGCCAGAATTTCCAGTACCTTAGTAATGGCTTCTCTCCTTTTTATCGTTTCTGCTTATCTCAACCTTCTCTCTCGAATGCATATTGTATAACTTGATGAATTGATCATACTCAGGAAGTGGAGAAAGCTCGTGTATCTTTGTTATCTGCATGATGGTTGCACCTGTCATTTTAACGTGTGCTGATTATATTTTGTGAGCAGATAGAACTGTATGAGAGGCAACGCCAAAAAATTCTTTTATTATTCTTAATTCAACTAAAAATTGTATCCTAGATCCATGTAGTGGGTCACAGATATGATGTTTGGAGGGTGGCGAATCTTCTTACGACACGTGTTCCCTTCGAGCCTGTAATTACGACGACCCATATGTAACCGTTCGCAGATGACGACGTGTTGCCGACGAGGTCGCCTGTCCAGACGTGACAAAATCTGTTGCATGGGATGAATGCGATGTACCGCCGGAGGTCTCTAAGCGACACTGTTGCATCGTCCCCGACTAATCAGCGAGGGGAACCTAGAGATGGAAGAAGGAAAGGTTTGACAGCAGGAGGCAATGAGAATTAGAGAGACGCGTGCTCCCTAACCACGTTAAGACAAAAACTATTCCGTCAGTTGCAACTAAGTTGACTTCAACGAAGCCTCGTGCAAAGCGCACGAGGAAGGCACATGTCTCTCGTTTCTCCCTCGCCCCCTCCGGATTCGTAGCAGCGACTCCTCGGACACTTGGGTCAGAGACGAAGCTTCGTTCCGCTCTATACAGCCAACCCCTTCGTGCCCCCTCTCCGACTCGCGCTGCTGCTTCCTGATGGATCCCAACTTCTTCTCGAGCCACAGCTCCTCTCCTCCGGTCATCTCCGATGACTCCTTCCTCTCTCCTCTCTACGAAGTCGTGTTCCCCTTCTCCGCGTCGACCACGGCATCTGCCATCCCATGTAACCCTCGCACTGCCGTTTCTGCCTTTGGTGAACTATCCACGAGGATTCCTGCTGGATCTTTTACCTCCTTTCTCACTTCAGATCATTACGAAGGTTTTACCTCAACTGCGTGCCAGAAGCCCGCCCAAGACAATGCTTCTTCCATGGCGTTTCCTCTTTTTCCTGTTTCGTGCCTTCACCTCCCTTCCTCCACCATGCCGAACTTTTATGATCCCATCAAAGGGGGCCTTGAACTTGAGCTTGGCCTCCAAAGCTCCAGCAGCAGGCCCTTCACACCTTACTTTGACCCAAATCCTCTGGACTTGCCTGATTCAACTTCGGAGCATGCTAAGTACAAGTATAGTTGCGAGGCATGCCAAGTCGGCTTCTGCACATCGCAGGCCTTGGGGGGACACATGAGCTCTCATAGCAAGGAAAGAAAAGGAACGACAGTAGCAACAGCAAAGCCAAATGCAACATCATCTGCCTCAAAAACATCGAATAAGAAGAAGAAGATGAAGAAGAAGCAGAAGAAGAAGAACAAGTCCAGCCTTAGTCCGATCTCCAAAAAAATCGACAAGGGCAAGGTGGCTGTGAAACGTGTTCCAGAGATGTCGAGCACCATTAGGCTTGTCGCCAAAAAGAACTCATCTCCAGAGCTTCCTATCGAGAGTCGATCTGTGAAGGAAACCGCGACCGTCGAGCAAGAGAAGCTTAGGAATAGTGCGACAAGTGTTGCAGCGGCTACAAACCCTCCGGAAGAGGTCGACAGCTTGAGTTACATGATTGATGCAATATGGCTCAGTGATGTCTGTGACATGGACTTCTCTTCCTTATTTGATAATTAGATATTACCAATCCAACGTTATGATATGGTGTTCCTTCTCTACATGAATAGTTTGGTTTATTTTCATTGCTACGAGAGATGATGCATGTCTCTTTCGCTGGTCCTTAGTCCTATGACGACACCTCTCTATCCTATTCGAAGCCCTCTTATATAAGACTATGAAAACGTGACTAAATTGGCCGTAGTTATTTTTTTTTAGATTTGATTTTGACAAATCATACCAACAAAAAAGTGTAATTTTTGTGTATTTGTTAATAAGAAAAAAGGTGTAATTTTTGTTATTCTATTCGGTGTGAGTCTAAGATTACTTATTTCGTTATTTTTATTTTTATTTATTTAAATTCCGAGGAGGAAAAAGAGAACAGTCTCGCTGCTACGCTAAACAAACCCTCTTCTTCTTCCCCGCCTTCCCCGCCTCCAAATCCATTCCCAAATCTGAAACACGCGCCTCAATCTCTGCGCCGAGAAAGAGAGAAATTCCCGCCCTCTCAATCCCGCCCCCCATTCCCAAATCGGGGACTCCCAACCTTTTTAATCGGAGCCTCCGCTCGGGATCCCTCGATTCGATCATCAGGAGAGGGGTGAGGGCGCTTGGTAGTGTTGTGGGAGTGATTTCCCCATCCATCGATGAAAGCTTCGATCAAGTTCCGGGAGGATCGGGCCCCCTTGGTCCGCGCCAAGGTCCCCGTCGGCGTTCTCGGCCTTCCCTTCGTCTCCGGCGTCACTGCCGCCGCTGGCCGAGGCGGCGACGAAGATGCCCGTGAACTCCGCCTCGACCTCTCCACCGCCTTCCGTGCCGGCCCCTCCGTACGCCTCTCGTACCGCCCCAACGATACCATCAACCCCTTCTCCCTCGTCCTCAAGATCGGCGTCGGTGCCCTCGGCTCCCCCTCCGCCGGCTCCCCTCTCTCCATGGCCGCCGAGTTCGGCCTCCTCGGGTCCCGCCCCACTTTCTCCCTCCTCCTTAAGCCCCGCATCGGCGACTTCTCCTTCCGGAAGTCCGTCTCCGCCGCGGTCCCAGCCACCGCCACGGGCGCCTCCAACGCCGTGGCTGTCACGGTCGCGCCAGTCGGTGACGGTCACGCTATCGGGGCGCCGATTGAGTTCCGCTCCGATAATGGGATCCACCCCGGAAGGAAGTACAGCAGCTTCCCAGTAGACCTCTCCGCGTTCGCGGCCGGCAGCGGAGGCGGGATCGATGGGCTGCTCTCCGGGTACGAGATCAGCGCGAAGAGCGTCCTTCCGCTCCAGAACCGCACGACCGTCCGGTTCAAGTGGGGATTGAAAGTTCCTCCGGAGCTCCGCACTTCGTTTGATGATCCAACTGCCGGGATCTCGCCGAACAAGCTGCCGCTCCTCGTGATGAACAAGATCTCCATCGAACGCTCGACAGATGACAAGAAGGCGAAGGAGAAGAAGCCTTGTGGAATCACTGACGTGAACGATGCGTGTATGTCAGTGAAGCGTGAGGTGGAGACGCTGCAGGTCGAGTGCGGTCTGCTGAGGAGTTCCGTGGATGGGCTCCGGGCAGAGACCGGCAGCCGGAAGCATGCTTCGGTAGCTTCACCGGTGGTACGGAAGAGGGACTGCCGGAGCGATGGGAAGTCGTTGCAGAACACAGGGAAATCTGAGGGCACGACCGAAGAGCTAATGCAGCTTTCGACAGCAAGCACCGCCGCTATGGCACCTTGAGAATGGTAATGAAGGTTTGGTACTTGTGTTTATATATTTGGTGAATCCATGCGACGATAATAGCTATGAGATAGATTATGTGCTATGTTTGCTTTGGCATAGTTTTGGTAGAATAGTACTCGTAAATGATGTCCATGTTTGCTATCGTAATCAGTTCATGCTATTGCATTTAGTCCTCGTTTATATTCAATTAATGACGTTTTGTTCTCAGATAACCGCTCCATTTGACTGTTGATTATCCTTTTGGTATGTTTGTTTGAGAAATTGGCTTGGATTTGTAATGGAGGATGCGTGCCATGCCCTAGTATAAGGAACATGACTGAACAGAGGTGAGATTTTGCTTGATGATGATAGCAATTCAGCATTGTTCTTT